GTTACATGGAGAAGCAAAAAACAAAATGTTGTTTCTTGCTCACGTGCGGAGGCAGAATTCAGAGGAATGGAACTTGGAATATGTGAAGCATTATGGTTGCGACTTCTCTTAACAGATTTGGGTTATCCAACAGTTTTTCCAAAACATCTTGTAGTATTGTTCTTGAAAGATTTTACAGCAAACACATTATTTTGATTGAACCTCTTCTTTTTTTTTACTTGAATTTGTTGATATCATTGTCGATTCTGCTCTAGCATTCGTCATTGTTGATAGAACAGGACAAATTTTCATCCGAATGGAGATGCTAATCGTAATGAATGGTCATTGCTGGAGGCTTGTAGAAATGGATGAAGATGCCAAAGATGAACTTATTCATCATAGCTGGAGCAAACAGGCTCTTTCTTACACCTCATACTGGAAAAATGAGGAAAAAGATTAACCGTGAAGATCTCACTTTTGGAGAGCTGCAGATTCCATTTTACCTGACATTTGAGTGCATTCTTCCTTAATGGAAGTTGGAACTGGCAAGAAGTTTGGTGAGTATGAATGTGGTGCGTGTTAACTTGTGGAATGCAACGAAGAAGAATGGCATTAATAAGTATGAAGGTGGAAATTTTACTGTGTAGTACGTGTTGACTACTCTCTATTGTGCATGACATTGATCAATGATCGTGGATTGGGTGTTGGAGATGAAATTATGCTATATTGGCAACCTAGGTGTTCAAAGTTTATTTTCAAATTAATTTCTAAGGTTGTGATTCAATTAGGCCTATAAAATTTTGGAGATCTTCAAGTTTTATGTTGAAATTATGTAAATGATTCAAGAATTAGGACAAAAATAAAAATGGAATATATGATGATTTCTGCAGATAACCAAATTGTCTTGTTAATCTGCTTTTCTGTACTTGTATTTGCAAGAAAACATTGGCTGACATTTCTGTTATTCGATGAGTTTCAATTCATCCCAATGAAAGATGTTGTGCTTCAATGTATGGTTATACAATATTGAATATAGTGCCTGAATAGCTAAGAATTTAATTACAATGAATGAACAAAGAAGTGATAATTAGAGATGGTTGTACAGTTTTGAATGTCTTGTGATAACTCGAGCTGTTTAATCATAGTTTTATTTTTCCAAAACATCTTTTACTAACGTTATTGAAAGGTCTTACAGCAGGCACATTCTTTTGATAGAACCTCCGTTTCTTCCAAACAGAAATAAGCATCATCTAATCATGTTATGCTGTAACTGAAGATTACTCACTGGTGGAAGATTACCAGTTCCTTGATCATAAAGTTGATGGATTCCGTACAGTGTGAATTATGATTGATTTTAATGAATCAATATCCCGGAAAACTGTTTGGGATCTTGATCACTCCATAATATTAATAATTCCTCAATCACGAGCAACGATTCCTCTGCTCTTCCAAACATGAGCTGATATAATATTCTCAATATCTCTAACTTTATAACACAGTTAGTTCAAAGACAGAATAATCATCGATTCGTAGCTTTGCAAGACTCCAAATACTAGGTGATAGTACACTCTTGACTCCAAATACTAGGTGATAGTACACTCTTGGGTATGTTATGCACCACCGGAGTTTTTCAGAAAGTCTAGAGTTGCAAAGTTTGTTTCTGCTGTTCTAGATCAACATGTCCTGATACTCGATCAGTTAAGTATTAGAACAGTGATTGCAGGCCCTCTCGTTTCCCTAACTATTACCTTCGTATCTAAATTAACAGTGATTGCAAGCCCTTCTTGTATCCCTAACTATTAGGTTCGTATCTAAATTATTGGAGGGGTTCCCCAACTATATTGCTCAAACTATAGTATTAGGGAATGAAAAAACACGTACAAAATTAAAATTAGGAACTTGAAGAAGTATAATATTAGGGAATAAAAAAACACACTAGATTAAAATTAGGAACTTGAAGAATCCAAATTTTAGAATCAAATAAGACTTGCAACTTATAGTAAATTACAAATTTAAAAGCTAATTAGGTAAATTGTCCGTAATAATCTTTTGTCTCTTTTGGGGCTTTGGCTTTTCAGAATCTGAGTCGTAGTCCGAGTCCGAGTCAGAACCAAATAGATTCGTGTCAGAGTGATAGTGAGAATTTGGACGATCAACATCAACGGTGGTCACTTTCTTTTCCGCCATAGGAGGGTTGGTGCCGACTTTCTTTTCCGCCATAGGAGGGTTGGTGTCGACTTTCTTTTCCGCCATAGGAGGTTTGGAATCACAAGCAAATAGATACCGACGATACTTTTTCGGCATATTCTTCATCTCATCCCTTGTAAGACGCCTCCCTGAAAAACAATGCCATGTTTTGTTTTCTGCCATACACTACTAAAAAAACAGTGAATACCGACCTAAAAATTTCTGACCTCAAATGGAGGTTGGTAATTTTTGACCTCCGGAGGTCGGTATTTACAAGTAGTCGGTTTTTATGCAACATAAAGTGGGAAAACCAAATTCCGACCTCGGAGAGAAAACATAATTCCTAAGTTTATGTTACTGGATCGATGGGCTCTGTTACTGAAATATTGGAGTATTGATGAAAAATTTAAAAAGAGGAGTGAGATTGGGAAGATGGCTCGCGCATCAGAAAAGGGAGGTTCTTTGCACACTGGTGGAGCTATTAGCCAGGTTACTAGGAAGGAAAGAATGGTATATTTTCTTAATTTAGTAAAATAATTTTTTCTTTTTTGATAAGTACTTTTTGGAGATTAATGAGATTAAATTCTATATATGTTATTTGCAGGAAAAAGAGTTGGGTAGGCCGGTAGCTATAGCAGAGATGTTCAAGGTTACTCACGTCAAGAAGAGTACGAACCCCACATAAGAAGAAAGATGGATTGAGCCACGTGCTCAAGAGACATATGTAAGAACTCCATTCAGACTAGTATTTTTTTCTTTTCCTTGTATATATTACATTCTTATTCGTAGAGTTCTTTGTTTAAATTACAGGATAGGTATATACAAATATCTCAGAAATATCATAGTACTCTACCTCTTGAGAGTCAGGACAAACCATTTACTCAAGAAGAAAATAAGAATCTTTGGAAACAGAGTGCTGGTGAACCGATTAGAGGTTCAGTCTACGGCTATCCAGAAAAGGCGTATCAGAAGAAGAAGTCTTGGTATTGTGGTTCATCATCCTCAAGCTTTGATGGTGGGGGATAGAGAGACAATATCTGCAATGAAGAGTAAGATAGCTTATTTCAATGCCAAACTTGTTGCTGTAGCCGAAAGAGAGAACAAGAGAGAAGAAAAGAGAAGAAGAGAGAAGAAAAAGAGAGGAAGAGAGAGGAGGAGATTGCGGCAGCAAAAGAGGTAGAGAACAAGAGGTATGCAGCGCTTCAGGCCCAACTAACTTTTCTTTTGAATCAGGAAATATTCTTCCTCCATGTTCGGCCAGCAGTGATGGATCTGATCAGGAGGGTGATGAGAATGATAAGTCTGATAAGGAAAGTGAGGGTGATGAGAATGGTAAGTCTGATAAGGAGAGTGAGGGTGATGAGGAGTAGTTGTATCTATTTGACATTTTGGACTTCTATATTTTTGGAATTGTTTAATTTGATCGTATTTTAGTTTATTTTGAAGTTGGAGGAAGTTTATTTTGAAATAGTTTAATGTATATGTTGAAAATATTGTGTTCGTTTTGGTTGGATGAAGTTTATTTGGCTTTGGGTTGTTTTGGTAAAAATATGCAGGTGGGCAACTAAAAATTGCAGTAATTTGCTGCCTGTTTTGTAGCAGAAAACCGACCTCCGGAGGTCAGAATTTCAACATTACAAAAATAAAAATACCGACCTCCGGAGGTCGGAATTTCAACATTACAAAAATAAAAATACCGACCTCCGGAGGTCGGAATTTCAACATTACAAAAATAAAAATACCGACCTCCGGGTACCGACCTCCGGAGGTCAAGATTTCAACATTACAAAAATAAAAATACCGACCTCCGAAGGTCATAATCTCAAAAATAATAAAATAAGAATACCGACCTCCGGAGGTCAGAATCTCAAAAATGAAAAATAAAAATACCGACTTCCAGAGGTTGGAATTTAAAAATTAAGAAGACACAAATACCGACATCTGGATGTCGGTATTCCAAAATATGAGAAATAAATATTCTGACCTCAGGAAGTCGGAAATAATAATATATAAAACTGACCTCAGGAAGTCGGAAAATAAAATAATAAATTTTTCGACATAAAATAAAAACTGACCTCGAGAGGTCAGTAAATACCGACCTCGAGAGGTCAGTAAATACTGACCTCTAGAGGTTGGTATTAAATAGCGACCAATCTTTTTTTGACCTAAGCTGGGATGTCGGTTTTAGGTCGGTATTTCAGGGAATACCGACCTTCGGAGGTCGATATTTGTAGGTCGGTATTCACTATTTTTTTAGTAGTGATATATATTCTTTTCTGCCATAGGAGGGTTGGTGTCGACTTTCTTTTCCGCCATAGGAGGTTCGGAATCACAAGCAAATAGATAACGACAATACTTTTCCGGCATATTCTTCACTCATCCCTTGTAAGACGCAGCCCTGAAAAACTCCGCCATGTTTTGTTTTCCGCCATATATATATTCTTTTCCGTTTTGTGTTAAGACTTTAGAGTTAGAGTGAGCGGAGAGCTTTTTGTCTTGTATTTATAGCACACAATAAAAATCCTTGTTTCACCAAAATTAACTTCTCTAAATCCTTCTTTGACCAAGATTTGTATTTATTTCAACAAAAACCTTAGTTTAACTTACCAAAATTAACTTCACTAAATCTTCTTTGACCAAGATTTGTATTAATTTCAACAAAAACCTTAGTTTAATTAACTCACCAATATTAACTTCACTAAATCCTTCTTTGACTAGGACACTACCAAGATTTGTATTTTTTTCTTTTTTTTAAACGGATGGGAAAAGTCCATTTGATATATAAATAAGAAGAATACAAGCATGACTAGGCCCAAAAAGGACCCGGTCCAATATCCAAAAGAAATACCTATTCTACAATTAGGAAACAAAAATGAACAAATTAGGAAAGGGCCGGGTCTTCTTCTCCATGAAGCCCTAGCTACAGCTCTGCTTCACCATTGCAACCTTCATCATCCATATCCATTGCCATTAAGCGGACTCGACTAAATTGGTACATCAAGCTATGGGTGTATTTCATCTCAAATGTTAACAAGTCCCACTAACATCATGAAATCAGCCCAAACGAAGACTTCTCCAACTCAATGACATTTAGTTAATTATTCAGGTCAGGCGGTGGTCTCACTCCCTTGATTTTATACTATATTTTCGTTGTTATAACTTACCTGATTCAGATTCTCGTATGCTTCATCCCTTAGCTGTGATAGGTTGAGCTCAACAAGGAGCTAATACCACTGACTACAACTTTAGGACAAAGCTACAATGATCTTCTTCAGGTAATCTGCGTTTATGTGCCATTCCGTTGTGTGCCTCTGTTTATGTTATGGCTTTTTTCTCATTCTAGCATATGTTTGCAACGTCTTGATTTTTGGTATTCTGTACCACTGTAATCTGCATTTATGTGCTATTCCACTGCGTGCCTCTGTTTTTGTTATGGCTTTTTCCTCATTCCAGCATGTGTTTGCAGCGTCTTGATTTTTGGCTTTCTGTACCACTGTATTCAGTATTCCGATATTAGTTCATCCATTGTGTGCAAAATTGTCATTCTGTAGCATAGTAATCCTTAGATTAGGAATCTGCCTTTTGTCCATGTTTAATAATGCCTTAGCTTCACTAGGTAAAGCTTGAAAAGTATTATAACTTATTAATTCTGTACCTGCAAAAGAAAACACAATGTTAGCCATAAAATCTGCCAACTTGTTTCCTTCTCGCAATGTGTGTTCAGTGGCCACGTCCAATCCTTCCTTAAGAACTCGAATCCTGTTTATCTCAAGTGTCACCTCCCAAGGAATGTGCCAATCTCCTTCTACCATCTTTTTAACAACTAATGAATCTGTTTCCAAAACCAAAGGAAATAGATTGTGGTTCCTAAAATATTCCAGCCCTAGTCTCATAGCTACTAATTCAGCTTCTAAATTGTTTGACACTCCAATCCTTTTTCCTTCAGCATATACCAGATTGCCTTGATCATCTCTAACACAGAAAGTAGAAGAGCTTGGTCTAGGGTTGCCTTTGGAAGCCCCATCAGTGTTGCACTTAAAAGAATTTTCCTTAGGTAACTTTCAATAAACCACTGTACAGCCTACCTTAGGACTATATTCAGTCAGGAATCTAACAATTTCAGGCCAATTATTGGGCATATTATGCATCCATGGATATCTCTGCTTACCCAATAGGATTAAATTATTGCATATCCCTCCCTTCATGCTCATATAAGACATATGACCACCAAACTTCTTAGCATTTCTTCTTTTCCATACTTGCCAAAAAATAAACATTGGAACAACCATTATCAGAGGTTTAAGTTCTACAAAACATTTTGCATTTCACCATTTATACACAGTGTCTTTCAGATGAATGAAAGGACCCTCCACTCCTACTGTACCTGCAAAATATCTCCATATTGAATTAGTATCAGAACATCTAATGAATAAATGTTCAATAGTATCTTGAACTCCATCAACACAGTAGCCACCTTCACCCATCACACATTCTATTTCTAACAAGAACTTCACCAATTGGAAGCCTGTGTTGCCATATTCTCCAAGTAAGGAATCAAATCTTAAAAGGAATTCTTGTAATCCAAATATGCTTATAGTTCATACAAGTTTCATTTTTTCCCCTTAAAAACTCCCAAGCAGATCCAACTGTGAACTTTCCAGAAGCCTTCAGCATCCACCAAGGTTTATCCCACTGATCTTCACCCTCAGAACTCCTAAGAAGTTGAATTACATGTCTACTGATATCTTCCGCAAAACTTAATTGCAACAAATCATAATTCCACTCTCCATTCAAAAAGCACTACTTGACCTCTTCCAATTGTACATTTCTAGCAGAGTCAATGGGCATAATGTAATGAAGTGCCCCTAATTGTGACCAATTATCATACCAGATACTTGAATGTCCACAATTTGGTTCCCACCAAATATGTTGATCAATCAAATCTCTAGCTTCCAGCATATACTTCCAAGTTAAAGAACCTCCTTTCCAGTCCATCATTTGAGGCCTCTCTTTTTTACAGTATTTATTCCATATAAATTTAAACCACAAAGACTTTTGAGTTCTAAATATCCACCATAGTTTTGCAAATAAAGCTTTAGAAACATCAAAAAAGTGATTTAAATCGCAAACCCCCTTCCTCTTTGGGTTTACACAACTCTGACCAAGCCACCCAGTGCTTGTTACTGCCCACATCCCTACAGCTCCAAAAAAATCTAGCAAAAACTCTATGCAAGTCCTGTATAACACATTTTGGAGGAATAATAGCAGACAAAAGATATATAGGGATGCTATTTAACACATTTTGAATTAGGACAGCCTTACCTCCAAATGACAACAATTTCCCTTTCCAAGCTTGAAGCTTGTTATGCACCTTTTTCATCAATTATGCAAAGTGTATTTTTTTGTTTTTGGCATGACCAATGGGACAACCCAAATACATAAGTGGGAAATTCCCTCTAGAAAAACTAGTCTTCATTTCAATGTCAGAAATCAACTCATTTGCTATATTGTGAAAAACAAAGAATGAATTTTTTTGTATATTAATCATCTGCCCTGATTGCTTCTCATAATCCCTTAGAGTTGTCATCAATAACTCTAAAGATGTACCATCTGTTGAAGTGAAAATAATAGTATGATCTGCATAAGAAAGATGATTATTGTTATCACTCCATTTTGGTAATCCATAACCCTTGTAGCTCTCATTGCAATACAAAGCATTTAAACATCTAGAGAGAGCTTCAACAGTTAAAATGAACAAAGCAGGGGATAAAAGGTCCCCTTACTTCACCCCCTAGAAGAGTGAAAGAATCCAGAAGCATGTCCATTTATAATAATAGAGTACCAATTGTTAGCAACCAGTCTCCAAACTTTATCCACAACACCACAATCAAAACCCATTCTCTCCAGCACCTTTATAAAACCCCACTCCACTCTGTCATAAGCCTTTGCAATATTTAACTTGATCACCATATTTGCAGGTTTACCTCTCTTACCAATATCATAAATAATATCCTGAGCAAGCAACACATTTTCTGTTATACTACTTACTTTCACAAAACCAATATGGTTTTGTGAAATCAAAGAGGGAAGGAGAACTCCAATTCTATCATTCATCACCTTTGAAATTACTTTGTTAATAAAATTACTCAACTAATTGGCCTTAAGTCTGAGAAAGATTGAATATCATCTTTCTTAGGCAATAAAATCAGGTTAGTATGAGTAATAGACTTAGGAAGTGTAGCACCTGAAAAGAAAGCATCAACCACTTTAACAACATCATCACCAACATTATCCCAGCAAACTTGATAAAAATGACCAGTGAACCCATCAGGGCCACTAGCACTATCCCCATTTTGAGAAAACACTGCCTTTTTGATTTTATCCTTAGTAGGGTGTGCATTTAAACTGCAGTTGTCATCATTAGTAACACTCTTCTGAACATATCTCATTATTGGGGTTTCCTCCATTCTATAGTTGCTAGTGAATTGCTGCTTGAAAAACTCTTGAGCAGCTGCTGCCACATGTTCTTCCCCTTCCATCCATTCACCTTCCATGTTTTGAATTCTGTTGAAGCTCAAAGTTTTCCTTCTACCTCTCACCAAGCTATGAAAAAATCTGGTATTTTTCTCCCCTTCAATAAACCATTGAATTCCAGCTTTTTGTCTCCAATATTCTTCCTCAAAATGCACATATTTTTTCAATTCTGCATGGGCCTGATGTAGAATTCTTCTATTAGCTGCAGTGGGGACATCTTCAAATAATTTCTCATTCACTCTTACAATCTCCTCCCTGATAACTAGTTGCTTGAAAATGTCACCAAAAGCCATTCTACTCCAATTAGACAATGCAACTTTGGTAGTTTTCAGCTTTTGTTTCAAATTTATAAACATATCAACCTCTTCAGAAACCCAACTATTCTTCACTACTTGGTGGAAATTTGATCTTTCAGTCCAAAATTTAAGGAACCTGAAAGGTCTTCTAGGAACATTATTCTTCTGTTCACAAGAGAGCAACATAGGAGCATGATCTGACATTGTTCTCGCCAAATGTTCTATTTCTACCATCCCAAAATATCCTAGACAGTCATTATTCATCATGTATCTATCCAGCATTTTGAAAATACATTGATTATCAATCCTCCCATTCCACCATGTAAAAGGGATCCCTTTGTAATTGACTTCCACCAAGTCACAAGAGTTTACACAAAAAGCAAAATCCTCATACTCATTAGGATATACTGGCAGACCACCAATCTTCTCTTTTTCATTCATAATGACATTAAAATCACCCCCAATCAACCAAGGAACATTCTGATTAGCATAACTAATACAGTAAATTTCATTCCATAATTGAACCTTTTCCTCAGCATCACACTTGGCATATACTATAGAAACAATCAATGAATTATTGTTTCCTGGAACAGTAACCTAAGAGTCAGCATCTGCTCTGTATCTGACATCACTTCCACTTGGATATGCTCTTTAATGAATACCCAAATTTTGCCATTACAATTATAATTAGCATACTCTATGCCCAATCGCCTTTTGAACCTGTGTATATTGTTAATATTTTGAAAAGGCTCCATCAAAGCAATGATAGAAAACTTGTGAAATCTGTGTAACATTTGAATTTTATGGAATGAATTTTGAGATCTAATAGACCTCACGTTCCAAAATAAAGTCTTCATCATCATTTAGACCCATTCCTGGTCCCTCTTCTAGGATTTGATCTTATAGGTATCACTTCCCCTTTACCTTTCCCTCTAAGTGTTATTGCTGAAGAAGGTGAGGGCTCTGCATCTTCAGGAACCTTATCTTCAATCTGCAAAACTTCTTTTTCTTTACTATTTTCTGTTGCACCACTATTAACCATTTCGTGACCCTCCATAACCCTTGGTGTGACACCATCTCATCTAAGGTTTGAACTGGCTGTGATTTATAACAAATCATTTCTAGCTCCTGATTTTTGTGCTCCTCCTCCTTCCATTTTAATAATACAGACCCCGGCAGTTGAGGTGGATACCACTCCTCTTTTGGCTCCACAATTTGTAAAGGAATTTGAAACAAAGCATGTTCCAGGCTATTTTCCATTTGGTTGGTGGAAAGTTGTTGCTGACCTAAATCATCTTCTTTTTCTTGAATTCTTACTATCTCCAAACTCTCCTCTTTATTGACCCTTGCCTCTCTCACCAAAGTATCTCCCATTTGTACCGAAAGCCCTTTGTCTTTTTGGTTTCTACCTGCACTATTGTCCCTACCTTCTAATTTTGTTGCCTCTATTTTACCTCCAGCTTTAACAGACTCTTGAATTGACTCACTCCTTACACCCACCCCTCCTCCTTGAACACTTGCAACAATGTCCACCTCTCTCATTAAAGGCTGATCAAGCACTTCAAAAGAATTAAATTTTTTGAGGGTCCCCTCACTCTCTTGAACCTTATTACTCATTAATTCTCCAGCATTCTTTGTAAAATTTCTACTAGTAGGCTTCCATTTGCTCTTTACAACTCCTTTGTAAAATTGCATATTATCTGCTTGTTGTATTGCTTTTGGTATGTCATTATGTTGCTGCACCAACTCTGGATGAAGTACCCTGCATTCTTCTTCACCATGCCCCTGTAATTTACATTTTTTGCAATAAGCTAGTAATGACTCATATTGAATTTTTACTATAACAACTCTATTCTCAAGAGTGTTATCATCTTCTAACTGCATCTGCACAAATTCAAATTTTTCAGCAAGCAGATCCACTTGGACCTTCACCTTTGCACAACTTGGACGCGTTTTATTTATTGTTGCCAGGTCTAATTGAAGAGGTTTACCAACCACGGACGCAAGAGAGAACAATACTTCCTTCACAAATAAAGTTGGCAACAAATCAGGGAAGGAGATCCAAGTCGTAGCCTTCTTCGTCTCTTCACTAGCTTTGAAGTTTGCATCATATATAAATGCCCTCATTTGATATGCAAATCCATCCTTTGCAATTATGTAATAAGAAGTTTTAGACAGTATCTTTATGTAATCCTCCATATGATCAAATCTCATTAAAATATGTCTATTACGAAGATATCCAATCTGACACCCCCCAATTATCTATCCCACACTGTTTTGGAATCAAAGATCTTAATTCATAAATATCAGGGGCTCCATAGGAGAATTTGCCCACCACAGCAAGTTGCAAATTCTCTAAAATGTTCATTCTTTGTATTTCATTAGCAGTCCAGGAGATAGTTGGAATACCCCCTACAAGGTTCGGCTTTTTCTGTGGAATAGGTTCAACATCGGCAATGGCTTTCCCATTGCCTATCATATCTTTCATTCCATGACCTTTGATAATATATGCAAATGAATTAGTAATTGGAGTAGTATGGATGTTGGGCATTGTCTTGGAATTTAATGGTGGAAACTCAAGTGATGATGAAGGATCCAGCCCGACCATCTGGGATGGCTGGCCTTCAGACGGTAACATGTAACAAATCGTCGCTGCCAAAGCTCTATAAGGTCGCCGCCGTAGCGTTTTCAACCCTCAAACATATATATATTTTTTTAATAATTTCAACAAAAACCTTAGTTTAATTCACCAATATTAACTTCATTAAATCCTTCTTTGGGTAGGACTAGGATACTACAAAATATTTTATTTATTTCAACAAAAACCTTGTTAAACTCGGACCAATACACTACCAATCCTTTTTTTTATTTCTTTATTTGGCTTGATAATTTTAATTATATTTAGATCATTATGTTAATATTATATAAAATAATTAATATTTAATTCTTTGATTTATCTATATATAATATTTAATCTGTATTTTTAACTTAAATAAAAACAAAAATTCAATTAAAATTTGTATAATAATTTCTCTCTCTAATATATGTGAATATTAAAGGTGCAATAATACCTATATATTTTTTTGTAATAAGGACTTTTGCAACACTTAAACAAAAAGAGTGCAAATATCACGACTCGTTTGCTGTCCAAGACATTATTTGTCCTAATTTCTATGACCCATACTGCTCAACAGTAGAACCAACTTTAGAAATCTAAAATTCATTCAACTTCCCACGAAACCAATCTACGATCCTTCGTTCATTCTACGGTCCGTAGACCTCTTATGTAGACCCCGAGCTCAAGTCCAAAATTTTACCAAGTCTGAATCACTTCTACGGATGCCATCTACGATCCGTCTTGGCTACTCGTAGGTCAAACTTCAGAAAATTGAATTTTCCAAAAACTTAACTCAACTCAAATCTATGACTTTCCTTCTATGGCTCGTAGGCCTTTCTACGATCCGTAAATAGGACTCATAGTTACTTCCTCAGTAAATTTTCTGCACTTTTTCTTTCCAATTTGACTTTCCCACCAAGCCACCTTGACAAAAAGATCCAAGGTTAATAATCAATAGCTAGAACCCTTAACCATTCAGACTGCCAGAAGACCTAGACATGAAACCTCCCATTAATCTACAAAATACCATGCAATAAAAAAAGTCTAACTTCTCAGTTAAGAAAACCTAGCCTACCTAGGCTCCAAACAATGTTGCAAAAGTGTAATCACGAACCTTGATTCTTTTTGTGAAACTTTAGCTTTTTCTTGGTCTAAAATAATAATATAATACAAATCAATCACAAATGACCTAAATATTTTCATATTATATGCAAATCCCATATCCTAGGAAAACCTTATGATTTTTCACCCAAACTAGGTTTTTTCTACCATTAAATCACCTAAAACTACCAATTCTAAGGTTATATTAGTGAACTATGGTAAATAAATAAGGAAAAAAGTACAAATATATCTCCGAACTATCATAAATGGTATGTCAATATCCCATTATACTTTAAGGTTGTGTATACCCTTACCGTCAATATTTTGGATCGTCTATACCCTTAAGACTAACAGATTGACACGTGGCTTCATCTAAATGATTTACCCGATTTTGCTTATTTTTTACCAAAAAATTAAAAATCCATCCGACCCACAACACAAAAGGGTGGTGCCAAAACCCATTCTTCATTTTCATCAAAAACCATCGCTCTATTCTTCTCAACCCACTATGACCATGGAATCAAGAACGTATCTTTCAAGAAAGAAGATGACTTGTTCACTAAAACTACACTCTTCTTCACATTCACTTCAAACTTTATATCTTCCCCATTCCATCCAGCTTCAACATGTAAAATCCCCTGCAAGTTGTGTCAATCTTGTGTCTTTCAAATTCTTTAAATCTGTAGACTTTATGCTTGCTGACAAAAAAAAAACTTCATCTTCATTAGCGTAGTAGAGATCTAGGTTATTGGGTGCTTTGTACATCATCTATTTCAAGAATATTTTCAACCCCTTTCAACAATAACAAATCGATTTAAGCTTGAAATTTTCAATTTGATTGTAGACCTACTTTTAAGCTTGAAACTTTGTCCATCAATGGTGGTAGTACTTTCTCAACCCCTTTCAATAACAATAAATCAATTTGAATTTGAAGTTTTGGATTCGATTGTAGACCCATTTTTAAGCTTGAAGTCAAATGTGATCCCTCTTGGCGCCGGAAACGTGACATTTATCTTGTCCGCACACTAGAAAACACCTGATACAAAATCAAGAATTTCAAAGTATACAAACAAAATGGATTGAATCTCTAATATTGTTTTATTTACCTTGTATAGACCATTACTATTAAGAGCTTTGGTGATCGAAATATTAATGCAACTGGAAAAAAAAAACCAAAAAATTAATTATATTTCAGACAACAGAAAGTAAAGAGCTGACTTGACTGTATTTTCAAGAAAAAAAGTTTTCATAAACGATACCTCAGTGAAAAGATTAGTATATAGTTTAGTTGTACATTTGCCACCGGAATAACTTTGTTGATTACCGAGTCAAAAGTAATTTATGATTGAGTAATTTATTTTATGCTATAATTTTTCAAGTCAGGTAAGAAGAAATTGTTCCATAACTGAGTATTTTTTGTTGTCTCCTCTAGTCTTGATGAAGAAATTGTTATGTTCATTTCAATCATCATTCTGCTTTTTTTTTTGTCCGGATGAATGGACACTCGCTTCTCCAATCTTGCACTGAGGCGGCTCAATGCCTTTAAAAATGAGGCATCCGTCTGAGACCCTCAGAATATTTTGGAATATATATATATATATATATATGGACTATAGAAAAAATAAGATTTTTCATTAAAAAGAAGAAATAACTTTGGATTTAAAAAAAAAAAAAAAAAGAGAAGCTAGGCCTCTGATATACTTTTGGATTTAGGACACTAATTAATATGAGCCACCACTGATCTTGCCAACTAAAATTTCTATTTTAAAAATATTTCCATGGTGAAAACAAAATGGGTTTTTTCAAATTTTGAAATGAAAAATGAAAGATACGTGGAAGCAATAAGAATATTCACTTAGTTGAAAAAACAATAAATATATACTTTAGCGTGGTGAAACCCGTTAGTCCACGATTAAAATTTTCAATTGGAAATGGGTAAAGAAAAATTGGAAGTAAAATGTGTTTAAAGAGAAATGAAATAATATATTTATTTAGGATTTTGTTTTACTCATTAAATAATAATAGTGACATTCTTAATGAGAAAATTTAATAAACGACACATTTAAGAGAGAATATTACTAGTCGTAACCGAACTTTTTAAATTTCAATATATGACATTAGATTTCTAATGATACCTAACAAATAATAACCTCATTAAAAACCAAAATACAGAAAATGAATGAAAATAATACTTAATCAATTAATAATATCCTTTCCTTAAATATAGGGTTTTATAATTAACATGATATATCTATGCCTCGATTTCTCCAAATAGTTGGTCACTATTTTGGTTGTTATCAATATCCTAATTATCAATATACATCTCCTATTTTGGTTCTTCCTTTCATCATTTTCTCTAGGAATTTCTTTTATTGCTTTGAAAATTGATATCATTTATATTTTTATTTTATTTGATAATTGCTTTTTTTTTCAAAAATAAGTATTCTTATTTCTTTAATCTATTTTGTTTTCGGAGTATGTATTTTTTTTTTGTAACATATTTTTCTAGATAATTTTTTTCGTAGGGGTTTACATAAAGTTGACAATGAATTTCTATTTGAAAAAACTGTATAATTTACAAATAACATTATATATATATATAATTTCAAAGAATCAAAGTTTTTTTTTTAAAATTTAAAATTATTTTTAAAAAAACAAATAGGTATTTTTATTTCTTAAATCTGCATAATTTAGAATTAGCATCTTACATATTTAAATTTCCAAAATAAAAATGAAATGATCCTCCGGGTCATTTTCTTCGTTTTCATATCTTTTCAAAGTTTAGAGTTCTCCTGTAGTGACCCCAAGTCATTTATGACTTGCTAAGATAGACAGTTCGATCGCCGGATCGTTCATTTAAAATATGTGCGAATTTCCATATTTTGAAGCCTTTGAAAATTGAACGGTTGACTTCAGTCAAAAGTTCAAAAATACGGCCTCAAAATGCAATGCTGACGATTTCATCAACTTCGAAAGGGCCATTTTAGGTTGGGGGCATGGTTGGTTCGGTCCCCGAGACTTCTGGTGAGAGTTTGTGTCATTAGGCATGTTGACTTGGAAACTTAAGCCAAGGTTTGAATTTGGTAAACATTCTTTGTAAACATGCACATATGAGAATTCTGTCAGTGTGGTTAACTCTGGAATGTCGAGTTTTGTAGACTTCCTGTAGATCACGGTATATCTTAGTGGCATGCAAATGAATAAAATATCTGGAATTATGGGCTTCTATAAGGATCTGCTGCCTTAACTCATTAATATTTGGATGGAATTATGGGCTTCTATAAGGATCTGCTGCCTTAACTCATTAACATTTGGAACACATAAGTGACCCTGGTAACGAAGCACACCATTTCCCCTTTGGGAGAACACCTCAACTCTCTGTTGATGAACTGCACTTTTTAACTGAAGCAATATAAGATCACTGTCTTGTTTCTCAATAAACTCCGCTACCAATGAAGATTCTAATCCATTATGAACTATATCACCACTATCTGATGTGTCCATAAGGCAAACTCTTAAGTGAGTGAGCCTGTGAACTTTGTCTAATTTTTTCTTCTCCTCCTCAACGTGTGACACACTACCCATAGACAGTCTGCTGAGAGCATCAGTAACTACGTTA